TGTTCAGCATATTAAAGACTTTATCTGCCAGCGTCTAACTGCGGCTGCTGAAGAAATATTCACAGAGTTTGAAAAAACCGTCGTCCATTACGAGAAAGAGATCGATCGTCAGCGCCGGCTGTTGGAAATCACATTGAGCCCCCGAGTGCAGCTGCACAGAATAGGTATGAAACACAACTTAAAACTAAATTGTCTTTATTTTTGGGGTCATAAAAGAAAAACGATGGAGCCACTGATGTTATTTCCCCCCTTACCTCCGATCCCCCATTCCTTCGTCCCCATATGTGTCCTTGATGTGTGACGAACCCTGTGTCTGTGTGTCTGTTTGTGTGATCTTGGACGGGCTGTACTGAAATTAAATTTCTCCGCTGTGTGATCAATAAAGTATCTTATCTTTTCACACAAAAATATAAAGAATAAAATGGACAGAAATCTCACTTTTGCTGATCACGTTCCCCTTTTTTTACGTCTAATATGTCTTTCTCCATCATTTTGCAGTCATTCTACAGCAACTGGCAGTTGAGGAAGATGCATTTACTGACCAGAAGTGCTGTAGTAAAGAGAGAGACTCCAGTCTGAACCAGAAATCACTAAGAATTTTGTGCACACATGAAAATATACTGAGAAGTTTTTTTTAATATAAAACACGTGGAAAGAGTTTCATTTGGAAAAGTAGGCTCATAATCCCTATTTTTATCCAGACTGGTGAGAAACCCTTATCTTGTAGAAAATGTGGGGAAAATTCAAGTCCTGTAATCCCACATACTTTACTCGTAAACAACTTCTCACCAGTGAGGATCCTCCATTGGATTCCTATAAGATAATCAAAAATAACTGCATGTGTTCTTCTGTCTCTGCAGTCAATCCGGACCAACAGGACTATCAGAAGAAGGAAGTATTTGCTTACCAGACACTCTGTAATGAAGAGAGAGATTCCAGTCTGAACCAGGAGGTACCAAAAACCCCTCAGATTAAAGAGGAACATAAGGAACTCTGCACCAATCAAGGAAGAGAGCAGATCAAAGTGGAGACAGAGACTAGTGCTTTCACGTTGAGCCCTACTCACCAAGAATGGGACTCTGGCAAAGTAGACACAGACCATGACCAGCCAAACTCTCAGACCTCCCCCTTAACTGAGAGGCAAATACAGGAAGGGATGGATCACACCATCACAGGATCCAGCAAAGTTACAGAGATGAAGGCAAAGAATGGATCTAATGGAGACATGGGTCACAGCAACGATGATAATTCTGTCCTTTCAGAATACAAGTCTAATGTTGAGTCAGATGAACAGTCTGTGAAATCTGTTGGTAAACAGTCTTTGAAGGATGAGTGTGATGAGAAGACAACTGGCACCATCCCCAAAAATTCTAAAACACAAACCTGCTCAACATGTGGGAAAAGTGTCAGAAATTCTTGTTTTGTGGCACACATGCGAATACACACCGGTGAGCGACCTTTTTCTTGTGAAGTATGTGGGAAATTTTTTTCTCAAAGTTCAGATCTTTGGAACCACATGAGAAGTCATACTGGGGAAAAACCTTTTTTATGTCCAACATGTGGGAAAAGGTTCAAAACCTGCTTGCAATTTTACAGTCACAAGAAAGTTCACTTTGGTGAGAAAGCTTTTGTGTGTACTATATGTGGGAGCGTTTTTTCTCGAAAAGGTTCTCTTGATGTCCATAAAAGAACCCACTCAGGGGAGAAACCTTTTTTGTGCACTACATGTGGGAAAGGTTTTTCTCAAAAAGGTTCTCTTAATGTCCATAAAAGAACTCACTCAGGGGAGAAACCTTTTGTGTGCACTACATGTGGGAAAGGTTTTTCTCGAAAAGGAAACCTTACTCTCCATAAAATAATCCACTCAGGTGAGAAACCTTTTGTGTGCACTATATGTGGGAAAGGTCTCGCTGTAAAATATAATCTTAATTGCCATTTAAGAACCCACTCAGATGAGAAACCTTTTGTGTGCACTATAAGTGGCAAAGTTTTTTCTCGAAAAGGACATCTTAGTGTCCATGAAAGAAGCCACTCAGGTGAGAAACCTTAATTGTGCACTATATGTGGGAAAAGTTATTCTGTAAGAAGTCATATTAATGTCCATAAAGGAACCCACTCGGGCGAGTGATCGTTTTCTTGTGAAATTTGTGGGAAAAATATCATCCTGGAAGAACGAGGGGGGGATCAGCACCAGAACGTTTAATTGAACTAAAGACAGTTTCTTTTTTGGGGGATTCTGGATTTTGAGCTTCTAATAAATATCAACTTCAGTGATTCTGGCCGCTGCCTGGTTTCTCCTCAGAAGGTTCTGGTTCTGCTGTTTGGACTCCAGGTGTTCAGAGAAAACACGCATAGCTTCAGATTGTTTCAAAACGTCTTTGATACCAAAAATAATGTGTCAGCGTTTGCGGATCCGGTCCAACCCACCGGGGTCCTCTGGCTCAGGGTTGTGTAATACAATTAAAAAAGAAGAAGATATTATATTGAAGATAAGATTTGGACCTACAAGATTAAATAGTAATCTTAAAATAATTAATAAACATATTACGGGGTGTTGTGGTTGTGGGAAATTGGAAACAGTCCAGCATGTTTTTTTTGGAGTGTAGTAAATATACACAAGAAAGAGAGAGGTTATGTAGAGAGTTAGGCAGGATTAAAATAAAATTGGATATGAGGGATTTGTTTCAGAGGTCGTATGGGGATGTGGTTTTTGGGAGTGTTTTCAGTTTTATAAGAAGAAGGGGTGTGTTTGAATGTATTAAGGAAAAGATTCATTTGATAGTTACTTTGAGGAAGAATTTGGGGAATAAGCATGTACAGATAATTATGGTATATTTAAAGAAAACTAAATTATTTCAAAGAATATGATTAAAATAGGTGTGTGTGTGTGAATGGGTGCATGATCTAGGGGGGTGGATTATAAAGATATATATAAAAATGGATGAGAGTATGTAGGTATACATAAATAGGAAATTCATTTAGTTAAATTATATATTAAGGGTGGGAGTAGGAAGATACAAATACTTATATAAGTTGATAGTCCATATCGAACCGCACTCCATACCAGCAGGTGGCGGTAATGCTGCTTAAAGCTTGTTGCAAACCGCCAATAAAATCAAGAAGAAGAAGAAGCCGGAAGGTTTTTTTCTGTGTGGGCTGAATATTTGCTTCCAAAATGTCTTCTGTTCAGCATATTAAAGACTTTATCTGCCAGCGTCTAACTGCGGCTG